CCTGCCTCGGCCTCCCAGAGTGCTAGGATTACAGGCGTGAGCCACCGCACCTAGCCTCTTTATTATATTTTTGACAAGTAATTTCTTGGAGGAGAAAAAAGAAGAGAGGTAGATGAATTAAAGGGAAGTTTTCTGGAGAAGGAGAGTAAATTTTATTGGTAGCAGTAGTATAGAGAAGTTTAGGGAAATCTCACTCTTGATATTTAATTATACGGCACATTTACTATGTTTCAGATACTCCATATGCTTTCAGATCCCTGTAGTTGCTCTGCAGGTTAAGTGGTAGTGTCATATTTCACGTGAGAACTGATCACTGTGGAAGTTAAGTAATATTCCTAAGACAGCAAGCTAATAAGTCGCTCATCTGGGATTCAAACATAAGTCTGCTTGAATTCAAATGTTTCGGGAACAGGGGAAGTTGAAGGTAGGTTTGGGACAGAAAGTCTTTAATGTTTGGAAACTTACTTTGGCCCTTGTTTCTGTCTGGAATGCCTCAGATGCCTTAGAAAGTTTCTTTCTGGAACATTGGGTTGCTTAGCTTAGTTGTCCTAGTAAGGCAAGGCCGTAGATGTCCTTTCTGCATGTTTTTATAGTAACAGACTACCCTTTGACTTGGTTCAGTCGTTGATTCACAGAAGAATGTCGGTACAATAGTACAGTAATACAGAGCTCAAAGCACATGCCAGTGGGTCTGAATGAGTCTTCAGACCTAAAGGACAGGCATCATGTGATTTTGAAGAAGATATGGGATGAGGATTGCTTCTAGTTTTGTGTATAGAACAGCAATCAAAGTCTCTCCTATTGAAAATGGCCCTGGGAGCTGGAATATACTGGGTAGTTGATATGTTAGCCGTAATATATTAGCCATCATGTGGGCTAGGTCAGCCTAGCCATTGTAGGCTCTAGGATTTAAAAGTATCTCTTTTTTTTTTTTTTTTTTAAATTTGAGACAGGGTCTCATTTTGTTGCCCTGGCTAGAGTGCAGTGGATCATAATTCACTGCAACCTCAGACTCCTAGGCTCAAGTGATCCTTCTGCCTCAACCTCCTGAGTAGCTGGGATTACAGATGTGTGCCACCTCACGCGGCTAATTTTTCTATTTTTTGTAGAGATGGGGTCTTGCTCTTGCTCAGGCTGGTCTCAAACTCCTGGCCTCAAGCAATCCTCCTGCCTCGGCCTCCCAAAGTGCTAGTATTATATGAGCCACTGCAGCTGGCCTTGCTCTTTTCTGTCTTACACAAAAGTAAATTTTAGGTGGACTAAAGAGGTATTTCTAAAAGAACCAGAAGAAAAGTAAATATCTACTTCATAGTAGGAGAGGCCTTCAGCATAAAAGCAGATGCAGTAATCATAAAGGAAAAGTTGAGAGTGTCTACATACAAGTTAAGTAGTTCATTCTAGGCATTAAATACCATAAACCAAAGTAAAAGACAGTATGGGAGAAATATTTGCAATATGAGAGGACTGTTAATATAGAGAGAATACTTAGAGACTGAAAGAAAAATAGCAGAAAAGAGGCAAAACTCAGTTCAGTAAAGAAGAAAATCAAATGTCAGATGGGTGATTACCTGACAGGAAGTAAGATTGGCACAACAAAGCCATTGTGAGTTTTTTTCTGCAATCAAATTAGCAAAAATTAAAAACATGATCAAGCACAGACTCTAGTATCAGTGAAGGTCTAAGAAATGGGGCACTCAAGTGCTGCTGATAGGAATGTAAACTGGTAGACAGAGGCAAGTGGTTGATGTTTTAGAAGCCTTTGAAATATATACCCTGTGACCCAGCAATTCTATATGAAGGAATTTATTACAGAGGAGCAACTGAATATGTCCCCAAATCCTCTTACTAGTTTTTTTGGTAAACTTCATATTTCCAAAACTGGATAGAATGTTTAAAAATTATTTGGGTAGGTGGCACCTGGCTTAAGGTAGTGAAGGGCCGCTGACAAAATCTATAAGAAACTCATAGGATTATGAAACAATTACGAAAGTTAAGGGAAGTATGAGAAATATGTTGAAATAATCAAGATATATACAAACCAGCAGTTGAAACATAGATGAAAGCTGAGGCGGGTTGCTAAGGGCCTAGATCCATCCCATGGTGTGTATTCATGTATTAGATTAACCCATGGTCTGTCTTCTGGCATCCTGGCTTGCTCAGGTATAGTACCACTTTTTAAAGGCTGATTATCTCATAATTCATGGATTTAATATTTTCCTCGCATTATCTTAAACATAAAAAATAAATTTAAAGGAGAAAATGTTGTCATTAATTATCTGCCCCTTCAGGAATACCTATTTACCTCTCATGGAACTCTACACAAATTGTATGGTCATTCGTGAAGTGCTGCTACACAGATGTTTGTTTCAAGGATTAAAACTTAATGTACATGAAGTGTTGAGACACTGTACCTTACATACCGGGAGCAATAAGTAGTAGTAGGTGTTTTTATACGGAAAAACGTGGAAAAGTTAGTGATATCAATGAATGGATTACTAAAAAGCCTATGTTGGGGGAGTCTGGTTTTGCTGAAAGAAGTTTTATATATATGCATTAGAGAAACTAAAGGGTTAGAAACCAACGGGCAGAGTAGTGGAATTACATGGCATTTTCTGCTGTCTCCATTTTCCTTTTTTGAAAAACAGTGCATGTGTTGGTATCAGGGAGAGCATGGTGGGAAAACGATCCATAAAACTTTTCAATACTCCTGAAGCCAAGGGGAAGGGAATTAGGAGAAGCAAGAGGACCAAAAGAATGGATGAAATATTAGGGTTGGTTTGTGGCAGATCAGTTTTGTTTTTGTTTTTTTAGAGACAGGGTCTGGCTCTTTCGCCAGGGCTGGAGTATAGTGGTCCAGTCACAGCTGTACTTACTGTAACCTCAAGCTCCTAGGCTTAAGTGATCCTCTCTTCTCAGCCTCCCACCTCCCACCTCCCTGCCTGCCACCATGCCCAGCTAATTTTTTTTTTTTTTTTTTTTTAAATAGAGACAGGGTCTTACTATATTGCCCAGATCGGTCTCAAACTCCTGCTCTTAAGCAATCCTTCCACCTTGGTCTCCTGAGTAGCTACTGGGACTACAGGCATGTGTTACCATACCCAGTGAGGACTGATTTGGAACTAGGTGGTTCAAGTTGGGTTTGATTAGTTAGGAATGCAGAAAGCCAGAGGAGTGGTTTGGCAAAATCTTTGCCTGCATGGAGGGAAAAGAAGTCTGAGAACACCCTGTCCCAGGCCTCTAGGAAAGCCGTGGTGTTTCCATATACCCTGAGAGGGCTGTGTAGTGGTGGGCCACACTAACTGCTTGGCATACCTTTTACTGCCTGGGTTTCTTGTATCTTTTAGGTTCATCTTTTCTTTCTCCCATCCCATGCAATAAGGCAGTCATTGAAGTTTGAAAAAATTTGGATAAAGTAATAGAAGTCCTACCCAGTAGGTAGCAAATGTGGTCAACCAACAGATAATAGAATAGGAAGGTGGAAGCTAAGTTTTTCTGGTGGCTGCACTGAAGCTTTCTGAATAAGGCAGAGCAGCTACTCCAGAGGGATAGTGTGCAGCCCTGTACAGATCGCCTCTTAGTGAGGGCTGTTGGGGCAAGGCGGGGGCTAGAAACTCATACTTATTGGGACCAATTAAGTAACTGGACTAGTGAGACATAGAATGGTTTTTGTTTTTGTTTTTTTCCCCCAAAAGTCAGTGGGGCTAGTGGGGACTGGCAAATTGACCAGGGCATACTCTGCCTAAAAGGCTGCCCACCATTCCAGTTATTGCCAGTTCAGGAATACGGGCTCAATACAGCCAGCTCTTCCCTCTGCCTACCCTCCACCCCAGCGCCTCAGGAACCCTGGAAATCCTGATTTTTTTGAAAATTTCCAGACGTAGTACTGTATATTTTAAATGAAATATGTTTGGCCTGTGGACCACTATTTTGTACTGTATGGGAAGAAGATATATGGGTCTTACTTACAAAAACATTTTTCATGTTTTTGAGGTGGATTTTCTCATTTAGCTCGTGAATAGTTAATTGTGCTCAAAAGACAGGATTGTATAATGTGTCATACTTGCAGTTTTTGTAACTTACATCTTTGAAAGCACTGATTTCATTTGGCATGTTCAAATCTCAACTGTTTGGGACTAGTCCCAAATGGACCGGAGAAATTCACAGGTAGTCTCAACTGTAGACCCTTCAGTGCCAAACCTGCTGGAGCCATAGGATGGAGGGTCCTGACCCCAAATAAAGCACCTTGGTTTGAAACGAAGCTGCACACCTCTGCTCATTCTAGATGGCTCCTGGCCACACTTTTCCTGTGCCTTCTCTGGAACTTTCATAGAGAAACGTCATTGCTCTATGAGACTCTTCTGCCAGGCTTCCATTTCTCATCTCTCTAAGCTAGAAAACAGAATCTCAATAGCTTTGGACTTGGAAGCTGGGGACAGATTTGTCCACATTTTGGTGAAGTCACTTGTCATTTGTATATAAGCACATATTGGTTTCATTAAATAGAAAGTTGTTATATCTAGTACCTATCACAGGGATAGCATTTAGTAGCTCATGGTGCCTGCAGCATACAATACTGTATTCCATTTTGTAACCCTTTGGCCCAACATTGACCAGCCCTGACTGACAGATTGAAATCTTATGTCTTGCAGATGCTGTTGATGGAGTGATGAATGGTGAATACTACCAGGTATGGAGTACTGTGATTATGTTGAATGCCAGTGGTCGATACTCTTCCTTTCCTGGGATTTGAATTGACTGGCCTAGAAAGAGACCCCAGACCTTTGACTTTACTGGATGTATTAGTAGCTGGTATGTTACCTATCAAAGTAGAAGAATCTAAAGAGAGGTGGCATTGATAGAAAGAGCACTCTTTTAAAATGTTACTGACCTCGCCCTTGTGATAATCACCTTTATTCTCAAGAAATGATCCTTCATGATGATGACAATGTGCCATGCACTGTGTCAAGCACTGTAATAAGTTAGTTACTAATACTTTAAATAATTCTCCTTCCATCTTTGTTTATAGTCTGGTTAAGTTAACCTGTTAATATTCCCTAGTTTAATTCTCTAAAGATTAACGTTTTTTTTTTTTTTTTGAGACAGAGTCTCACTCTGTCACCCTGGCTAGAGGGCAGTCGCATTGTCATAGCTCACTGCAACCTCAAACTCCTGGGCTCAAGCGATTCTCCTGCCTCAGCTTCCCGAGCAGCTGGGACTACAAGCACAAGCCACTACGCCCAGCTAATTTTTTCTATTTTTTGTAGAAATGGTGTCTCGCTCTTGCTCAGGCTGGTCTCAAACTCCCAGCCTCAAGCGATCCTCCCACTTTGGCCTCTCACAGTGGTAGGATTACAGGCATGAGCCGCTAAGCATAGTCGAACGATTAACATTTGAGTTTATCAGTTTGTTTATTAGCTCCCAGATCTTACCCCTTGTAAAGAAGACCCCCACACACCCCTTGTGACTCATATTTGCCTGCCTTTTATCCTCTCTCTGGTGTAACTATAGTAACTATACATTTTCTTTTGCACTTCCTTTCCTAGAATTCACTATATTTTGATTAAGCGATATCAATTGACCTTTTTTCTACATGGTATAATAGCATTTAGAAGGCTTAGGTTCAGGCCTTGGCTTTACTGTGTACTGCTTACCTTTTTTACTTTGAAGCTATCACATAATCTCTGTGTAAAGTGAGGAAACAAACTGATGACACTGTTTCCTAATAAATCCACCCCCTGCCACAACTTTCCTACCTCCCACTCGTGTCCCATTTATTAACAAGTAGGATGACATCTACTCTGTCTCCTTCATAGGATTGTAAAGATTAAGTGCAGTTATGTTGAAAGCTCTCTGTCGGCATGCAAGGTGGTGGTGTTGTTTTTAAGGTAATCCTTTAACATTTTACAACAACCACCAATGTTGTTAGAACCAGGGGTGCTAACTTGGATGAGTCGCATTTCAGGAAGGAATTTTGGGTACTGATAAAGCACAATTGTGTTTTATGTTAAGGAAAGTAACGGTCCAACAGACAGTTACGCAGCTATTTCACAAGTGGATCGATTGCAGTCAGAGCCTGAAAGTATCCGTAAATGGAGAGAAGAGCAAACGGAACGCTTGGAAGCCCTTGGTAAGGAATCCCTTTCTGTCTCAGGTGTCGGTTGTCAGTGGAATCAACCTAGACTCTAGTTTTATCTCTTTTTAACTTTAATTAGCCAGTGTCCTTGTCTGGTCTTTGGGAAGATATCTTTCTCAGCCTGAAATTCATAAGGCCACCCACGCAGAAGTGCCTGATCACAGGCCACTGAGTGAGGAGTAGGGTAACCCACAGAGCCAGAAGGTACATTCTGTCCTCCCATGGGAAGAGCAGAGTGATGCTATGGAAAGAGCCCTGGACTTGGAGTGAAAGACTGGCTTTAAGACCCAGCCTTAAACTTACCAGCTGTGGGCACTTGGTTGCTCAAACCTTTCAGAGTGTTGTGTCATCATCTGTGAAGGAAGATCAATGTTACTGACTTTAAGGGTAGGCTGAGGTGCTATTTTGGGAGTGCTTTGTGAACTTGAAGGTTTCAAGTTCATGTGAGAAACTTAAAGACCATTTTTCATTTGAAGTCTAAATTTAATGTAACACTTAAGAGGAAAATGTGAGGTACGTTAGGAAACCTGTACAATTTGTTGTCTTACCTTAATATCCCTGTAAGATAAGTTTTACATTTTTATGGATGAGGAATGTGGGGATCGTAGGTAGAATAAGTATTTGAAATACATATCTGAGAAGCAGTAGAGTCAGAATTTCAGCTTCAGTCTGCCTGGCTTCAAAGTCCATCCCCATCCCTGTCAACCACATCGCTTTCTAAATGCACTTAGTGTTCATGACCATCTTGCCAGGCAGGCCACGCCCAAGGTCAGCACCAGCCAGCCTGGCCTTTGCTAAAGAGGTTTGTACACGGAGTGTCACTTGTTCGTTCAAGATCAGGGAACACTTGATGTCTGTACATGGTGGGTTGAAGAAGTATGGCAGAGTGTGATGATGTAATCCACACTGTGTTTTTTTCCCAGTTTTTTTTATTAAAATTTCTAACACAGAACAGTTGAAAGGAGGAAAATTGTGCACTCCCTATTTAATAATTAATATTTTGCCACATTGGGTTATCTTTATATAAATGAAGCGTGTATATATGTATATGTTTTATACATACATTCACATAATTTTTGGCTGATCTACTTTAAGATACAGACATCACATACTTCATGTCTAAATATTTCATTGTACGTTTCCTGGAAATACTGACATTTTCCTGTGCAACCACAGTGTTAACAGTATTATTCCCTTTTGAGAACCATTGAACGAGTGACAACATGAGTCCCTGTTTTTCAGATAGGGTAAATGACACCCAGAAATAGGAAAAGACTTGAGCCAAATAACACAGCCAGTTAGTGCCAAATCTTTTATCTTGCTGGTCCAATTTTGGTGACTTTCAGAACAAAGAGCACACTATGTTTGAACCTTTATAGCACTATACAATAGTAGTTTATTTGGTGGAAATATTCTGTATCTTTGCTGACCAGGATGGTAGCCACTAGCCACATGTGACTATTAAGTACTTGAAATATGGCTAGTGTGACTGAGAAGCTGAATTTTAAATTTTCTTTAATGTTAATAACTTTAAATGTAAGTAGCCACAAGTAGCTACTGTATTGGATAGAGCAGCTTTAGGAAGATGAAAATAGGTCTTCACAGTGCTGGCAGCCTTAGTCCTTGCTTGTTCTTTGTGGATCTCTTTTGAGAAGGCTTAGAGGCAAGACTTAGCTGGTATTAGTACTGTTAGAGTATTTTTCATGTTACTGAGCCCAGCTTTATATTTTCTCTTTCCCCAGGGCTTAGCGAAGTTTGTCTTCTCCATACAGCGAGCAGGCTTTGGTGTCAGGAAAAACTTTATTTTCTTTTTCAGTTCTCAAATTGGGTACTTTGGGACTATTCCAAGAGATGTTGTTTTCTTAACTCAAGATGCCTTCTTGAGGGACATCAAACATTTGGTCTTGCATTCCAGTTGAAGTGAATTCAGTTGGTTCATGAACAAGGTGTTTCTTCAGTTTCCGCTTTTTTCCTTGCAAGAACTAGGAGAAAAAGCATGGGATGCTAAAAATAGAGAACTGGTGTCAATGGTTTTCAGCTTAGCTGCAGGCTGCATTCTCAAATTTTCCTTTCTGTGAACAAGGGTGGCCAGAGAAGAAAGCACCTGTCAGTGTGCCTTGCTCTGTAAGAGGACTCTGCCTGTTCCTCTGAGGGGAAGAATTCTAAATTCTTATTGCCAGTGGCACTTCCTAAATCTGTAAAAGGCAGAAGACAATTTAAATGTACTGTTTTATGTAGTAACTACAGTCTGTACAGATGTTTACAGTTTTTATTTAAATTTTTCAGAAATAAATTCTCATATTTTGTTCCTATTATATAATACAAAATTTTAAATGATTATTAGATAGAATACATTGAAAGAAAATACTCTCTAATCAAAAGTTAATTTTTTGGCTGTATTTTCACCACATTTCAAATTAAGTGTTGTCCACATGGCGCCATCAGCCCATAGCATCTCTCATTGCAACATAGCCTGCTCCGTTCCATGCATACACTTAATGCCCTGGACAGACACATGTCAGTGTAGAGTCATCGATGGAAAATCTGAGTGAAAAGATTTTCCTTCTGAATGATAGGTCACCTTCCAACAACTTAGATAACAAGGCGAAACTTCGGGGGAGTTTTTAGCTGCTTTTAGGCTATTTCTTTTTTTTTTTTTGGAGACAGAGTCTCACTCTTTTTGCCCAGGCTAGAGTGCCATGGCGTCAGCCTAGCTCACAGCAACCTCAAACTCCTGGGCTCAAGTGATCCTCCTGCCTCAGCCTCTTGAGTAGCTGGGACTACAGGCATGCGCCACCATGCCCAGCTAATTTTTTCTATATAGTTTTAGTTGTCTGATTAATTTCTTTCATATTTTTAGTGGAGACGGGGTCTCGCTCTTGCTCAGGCTGGTCTTGAACTCCTGAGGTCAAACAATCCGCCCGCCTCGGCCTCCCAGAGTGCTAGGATTACAGGCGTGAGCCACCGCGCCCAGCCGGCTATTTCTTACAATTACAGACACAGCCATCTGCAGGTTGTTACTACAAGACATTTTTTGCAAAGGCCCTAAAAATGCCCAAGAATGCTTCATCTCATCCCTTCCACTAGTTATTCGACACCACCACTGCTTTCTACTCTTCTGAAAGACACTAATTACAGGTTGGGCTCTTGGTCTGTACTTTGAAAACTCTGTCCAGGTCACCTTCTAGTCATATCTTGTGATTAATTCTAGGCTTGCCTCCCTTTCTGTCCCCCTGGAGGCAAGATAATGAGGTAAGCGAAGTGTAAGCTTTAGAGTCAGACCTGGGTTTGAATCTTGGCTCTGCCACTTATTATAACCTTAAGGAAGTTCACTTAGACTTTCTGAGCTTCAATTTTTCTCACTGCTTAAAATGGCATCAGAGTTTACCTTCTTGGGATTGTTGTAAAGATTAAATGAGACAGACACCTGCCAGACAGCACATCCTTAAGAACACGTTTAAAGTGACGGATCAGGTTAACTTCAAGTGTCAGCTGCACTAGTAACCGTGATGTGTATTTCTTTACCTCCTACTCCCTACTGACATATGTCTCTTCAGCTCAGTGTCTTAGGGGAAACTGTATTTAGTGCTCAGAAACTTTATGTTTGAGAATCCAATCTGCCAAACCTGCTACGTGTGCATTTTCTTGCTCTCATTTCTAGAACCTTTTGGTTAACTGTTAATGATGCCATACTCCCAACCCCCTGGAGTTCTCTCTGTTGGAGTTTATTTGGTAGCACTGTGCTGGCTCTGCCACAAATTCACTCTGCAGTCTTAGTAGGAATAGATGTTTTGTGGTCCTGTCCAACTCTAATATTCTATATTCTACCATTCTCTGGTTCCTGAATCATCTCTACCTGTGGCAGCTTTCCTAATAGGTCCCTGCTTCATAGAAGCACTTCTACCTTAGTTATAAGAGTGCCACCTTGTGTTTTCAAAACCATTAATTGTCAAACTTGGGATATGGACTATAGTTTGTGAGAAGAGTTAAAAGCTTATTTATAATAATATGAATATCTCACCCTGAACTAATATTGGCAGCATTATTAAAGAATCATCTATAATTGTTTTTTCCCCAGTTGGTGCCCAACAGGCTTTTTTCTATTAAAAGTCAATATTTCCACGCTCTTCTTCCCCTCTGCCAAAAACAAGACAAAACAAAATCAGTAACTCACTAAGGTGACAGTGGACTGGGATAAAACCAGGACTAGGATCACTGAGATTAGAGTTGGTTGTGCAAACAGGGGAAATAGAATTTTTATCTCCCCCTCCCCAGTCTTCTCCCCTGACGTGCACAAGTACCCTCACCTACCGTAAGTTCAGTAAGACCGAAAGAAATGGACGAAACGAACTTAAGTTTGTGCTTTGTCTCATTGCTATTGTCTTTGTTTTCCCTCCCTTCAAAGATGCCAACTCTCGGAAGCAAGAAGCAGAGTGGAAAGAAAAAGCAATAAAGGAGCTAGAGGAGTGGTATGCGAGACAGGACGAGCAGCTACAGAAAACAAAAGCAAACAACAGGTCAGTCCGCGGCAGTTCTAGCACAGCTTGTTTTCCCAAATTGAATCAAATGCATTTTTTAGCATCCAGTCTAGGTTCTTGGCTGCTGCCTCCTTAAGTGTGAAATGTCTTTGCAGTTTTTGAAGAAAGTGCTTGAAGCACAGTGTCTGAAGTCTCTTGGGTCTTGTGAGCAGAATTCAGCCTGTCATGTAGCCATCCCGGTTGTAGTGAATTTAGCTCTTTAACAAAGAGCTTGGTTAATATGCGTCACCTGCAATGGTATGATTCCGCCAAAGGAAAAGTTACTTCACAGATTAGGTTTAAGCTTTAAAAAATGGAACCCTGGAATGAAAGGTCAGTTTCATGAATATACCAGGATCTTATTACTTTGGAGATGATTATAGACTTGGTCACATTGTATCTGCTAAATACAGCCCTGCTGAAAGCCACTTCTCAAAGGAGTCCGTTAGCATGAAAATGTGCTTTGTAATCAGGCAGCCAAGGGTGTTCCAACATAGTGACTGTGGAATTGAGGGTTCTCTGGGTACTTAGCTGTGCCTAAGAAAATCTTGAATTGGCTTCTTAAAAATGCTCTTTTCAGAAAATATTTTACTCACTTACTGACGGTTTAGTAGTTGTAGGGAGAAAACACATTCATTCTCATATCACTACCAGTCAGTAGCTGTGGTTTTCAATGCTCTGCACTTCTTGGAAGTAGCTTAGAGAGACGTATGCAGTATTGCTTCTCTCGGGGTAGGCAGACTGGCTTTCTTTCCTCTGCTGGGTTCAGAGCCCAACTTTCACTGAACAGTCTACTCCAGTATAAAAACAGGCCAGACCAGGCCTGGGGATATTTTTAATTTTCAGGATAGAGCCTTAGGTTCCTATATTCAGAGGCAGGAAGGAGATTGGGTTAAGTACCCTTGTCTCTGGTAGCTCTGTTAGCCAGAAATCTGCCAGGAAAGAGGGAGCTAACCACTTTGCCAGCCAGCCAATGCCATTGTGGGGCAGCTGTGACAGAACAGTTGGACTCTTTTTCATCCAGCAGCCATTCAGATCCTTGTGTGCCTTTGGTCATCCTTGGTTCCGTCAGCTGCCCCTCAGATGCCAGGCTTGGGTCTCTGTCCTGGCCATCTGCCTCTAGGGGTTGTACTTTTGAGGGGTGCATATTGGGTTCCATTTGAAGTTCTGTGGCGAGTATGATGGGGACTGCTCTCTAGTCTTCTCATTGAGTCGCCAGTGGTGATGGTTGCCATCGGCTACACAGTGCTTCTGTTGAGCTTGTGGTCGGTACGAAGTGCTAACAGGTCCAGGCTCCTGTGTCCTGTGCTCACTCAAGATGATTTTCCTCCAGATGCAAGTTCAAATCAGTAAAGAAAGATGAGCAGGTGCTGTGTGCAAGCATCATGGAGGCTCTGGCTGCTGCCCCAGCACTTGACTTTGAAGTCCTTGGCAGAACCATGCTGACCTTCCCTGTACAGGGTCCCTGATGCTTCAGCAATTTGACACACACACTGTCAAACTAAAATAAGAAATATGTTGGGAACAGGCTTTCCATTGCAGAAATTTTTTCAAGCCAATTTTGCTGAACTTACCTGTCTGTATACAGAATCACTTGTCCTGGGAGAGAGCGATCACACCTGTTATTAGGAGCTCAGTCTTAAAGGCTTAGTCCCTCCAGGTGTTGAGTTAGGGCCTTGGTACCTTTCTTTACTTGGAATTGCAGAATGTGGGGTTGGCAGCTGGCTGGTCTCATAGGTGAACCTCTCCAGTTCCAGGGAGAAGGGACTTACCCACCACTCATCTGAGAATGTAGAGCTGTTTAGAAACCAGGTCACTTGCCTTGTAGAAACCTTGCAGCACAGGGTTTACCCTGAGTGCATAAAGCTAGTGGCACAGTAGCCACTGCCACCAGGGTTCTAGGACAGAAGGGATGGTTTTTACACTTCATTCCAGTGATTCTTCAGTGGGTGGAGGTGGGAGCCATTTTACAGTCACCCTGTGGGACTTCTTCCAGTGGCATTCACCATCCCCTGGAGGTTCTGATATTGCTGACTACTCCCTGTCCATATGTGACTCATAAACTTAGACTCTAAAGGAATAAGTCCCACAAAAAGTGATTCATTTTCCTGGTTGTTGGTCTACAGATAAGTAAATATTTTTAGAAAAGAAAATGGGGTGCTCAGTTTAAGCAAGTGTCATTCTCCCTGGGTAACTCTAGTAGCGGTGGGATGTTGAGGGACTGCAGGAAGGCAGAGAAGTTGGAAAGAGGAGACTCAGGGACAGAAAGGGCACCCAGTTAATCATGAGTGTGTCCTCGGGCCTCCTGCCTTCCAGCTGCCCTCACCCAAGCAGTCCAGAGCATGAGGAGCACAGCCATGCCAGGCACCGTGCTGGGGGGAGGCGTGCAGCAGCCAGACATGGCCCTTGCCCTGCAGAATCTGTGGTCTGTTGTCCCCAGACTGCATCTCCCTCCTTTTATCCTAAGTGGGGGCCTAGATGTCACTACACAAGAGCCACGAATTATTAAGTGATGGCTGTGGAAAAGAATTTGCTTTTCACAGGAGTCTGCCAGGACAGGGACTGACACCTACAGCTGGATGAGTTCACTGACCAAGAACAACCACAGAGCATTTCCTCCTGTTACAGGTGGCCTTTGTGCTGAGACTTTTCAGCTCTGTCAAGGCTTAAAAAAGTCTGGGGAATCCATGATTCTCGGTGATGGCAAACATTTCCACGCCCACTTTGGGGCTGCTTACAGGATGAAGCTCTGCACTGTATTTAGGCCTCCCGAGTGTGTCCTGTGGTCGGGCATCCTCCTCCTTCCCTCTCCCAGGCTTCCCCAGGCCCCCTTCTGCCTTGGCTGAGGATTGCTGCTTCAGGTCCCCTTCTGCTGGGCAAAGAACAAACAGGTGGAGGGCCGCCTGTGCGGTGTGTAACTTTCTGTTTGTTCTGGGCCCATCGCCCTGATGGGGGACCTGTGCTTGTCACTGCAAAGCTCTTTAGCCTGAGGGCTAGCTGCAAGAGCCTGACATTCAAGCTGTTGTCCTCTTAGTGAGGCCTTGACAGGGGTCATCAAACCTTCCAGTAGAGGCAAGCTGGAGTTGAAATTGATTGGGTTCAGCCCTATGTGTAAACTGAAAGGATTATGGTTTGCAAGCCCGCTGGCCTTGCCTTTCCCTCCCACCCACTCTGCCCACAAACAACTCTCTGTTTTCCTGCTGAGTCACTTTGAGTTACAATCCGTCTGCTCTTTTTTGCTTTCTTTAAATTCCCACAAAACACCTCTTATATATAAACCAAAATGGGAAAGAAAAAGGGTATGTGTGAGTTTAAAAATAAACTGAAATTGAAATTACTAGAATTTGCCTTCAAGTAAATATGTGAGCTTAGGTTAATGACCAGGCATGATTACCCATGAAAAATGTTCTTTCCACTTGCCCATCCCAAACCCACCCTGCAAAGGACGGGATAGGACTCCCCGAGGGAGGTCCCTCAAGGGAACCACAGCCACAGTGGACAAGTGTGGGCTGGCTGGGTGCAGGAATTTATCCTGAGGCAACAGAGAGAGAGCCGGCCTGTCCCCTGCTATGTAAATTTCCCCACTCAGTACGCCCCATCCTCCTTGTCCCAGAGCTGTGCCATGCCAGTGATGTTCTGGATTCTTGGCTACACCTGGTCAAAACCGGATAAGTCTGGCATAGAAATACTCAGCAACTGCACCAACAGACAGCCTTATTCAGGGACACACAAGCTGGTGCCAGAGCCAGGCCTCCAGTCTAGCATTCTTCGCACCAGCCCACTTGCCTCCACTGCTTTTTTCTCTGAGGTGAGGATTTTGAAATGACCATATGTGTCCGCAGGATACTGAAATTTACCCCACCCATCCAGTGTGGAGAAGCAGTAGTTGGATAATCCAAGACAAAACTGGCTGTGGGTCCTAGCGCATCTGGCGTCTGGCAGCATTCCTGCCCAGTGACAGTTACTGAGACAGGCAGGAAGGCGGTGCGGCTTCCTGAGCACACACCGGCTGGGAAGAAGCATCAATACACAGTAAAAAGAACCCTGGACTTGGAGCCAGGCTGCCTCGGCTGTGACTTCTGAATGCTGCCACTGTGGCATTCACCTCTAAGCCTCAGTTACCTCATCTGTAAAGTGGGGGTGAGAATATCCAGTGTTGTAGGTTGTTACAGTTGAGGATTGAATCACCATAATCTGTGTGAAAGGGCTTAGCCTATTACTGGGTGCTTAACACATGCTTCTTGTCGCTGGGGAAGTCAAAGGGGCAATGTTGGCAGCGCTCGCTCGTGGAAGATCCCCGTGCAGGGAGGCCAGCGGAAACCAGGTCTGCCGGAGTCGCCAGCGCTGGACGTCTCACAGGGGTTAGGATGGAGCCTTGGGAGCAGCTCCCCAGAGCACAGTCGCACCTCTATTGTGGATTTTAGATGTTTCTGCTTCTCAATGTTCTCTCTTTTTTCCTGCCTGCTTGCCTGCCTTTGGGACCTCTTGCTGTCTAGGGTGGCAGACGAAGCTTTCTACAAACAACCCTTCGCTGACGTGATTGGTTATGTGTATGTTGCAAAACTAATTCCTTTTCTTGTTTTGATTCTTTCTACATTTTGTTTAGAGTTAACGCTCCTTTTTTGTCACAAATCGCTTTGCTTTTCAAATTATTTCAAATCAGCACCATGGGGCTGCCTAAGAGCTGATGAGCTGGGGGATGGTCAGTGGGGATCTTGCAGAATCATGACTCCTTGCGCCCTCTGGTTGCCATTTTTCACATTCGGGGTTTTGGAGGGAAGAAAGCTGACTCCCTTTCAAAAAGTGAGTCATTTGTGATCTTGTCTGGGAAGGGTTTGGGGCTGGGGGGACTCTGACTTCTTGCCGTTGCTGCCATCACTGCTGCTACTGACGCTTGCCTGCCCCAGGTGGGAAGGAGAAGTCTCCCCACCTGGGAGTAGGTGACAGTCCCAGGAGGTTACGAGCCAGTGAGCAGCAGCACCTTGCATTGCCAAAGTCAGAGCTGTGGGGGCAGCATTTTCTATACTTGGTTTCTTTAAAGAATATGGGGTTGGTTGCCTCTCCCTCAGGCAGAAGAGTCCAGAGCAGAGGGGCTTGTCTCCCATGGGTGTCTATGATTTCTCTGTGGTCTTGTATGTCAGAAGTTGCTATTTAGTCGCTGGCTTCTGATGCCCTGTTCCCCACCCTAGTACAGAGAGGTCCTGGCTTCGAGGTCATGTAGCCACAGCTGCCTGATGTGAGCCACTGGGGCTCCCCTTCCCCCATAAAACACTGCATCTTCTCTGGGAAAAAAAATTTTTAAGGATTCCTATAATCAAAGCAGTTTTTGCTAAAGACTTGGGAACAGTTCTCATTGTTTCCTCCTTTAAAATTAGGTCTGGCTTTTTATATAAGGGAGCTGAGGGTGCAGGAGGAGAGATATCTCTGGAAGGTGGGCAATAGGCCGAGCTCTGTAGAACCTCTTAGGGCCTGCGCCCTTGAGCTGTTCGTCCCGTTAGAAGTCACAAGTGGGTTTCCTGGGCCCCCAGATGCATTTGCAATGAGACTTGTGAAATGCTGGACTTACAGGTGGTGTTTGATTTGATTTCTGCACATTCTCTCTGGAGTAGAAATGGAGACTGGAAAGGTCGAGTCTGGTTTTGCTGGGCAGCAGGGTGGCCAGCAAAGCCAGCTGCACGTCCCCAAGCACAGATAGAGTGGCAAGGGCATGTCTAGCTTACTGACCATCTGCATTGAGCTCATTCTCATTTTCTATATCTGACCTAAAGTTTCTCTCCTTGTTTCTTTTCTTCTCTTCACCTTTAAGCACAAACATAAACCATCCTTGCTACAGCCTAGAACAGTTAAGTAAACCTTTCTCACTGCCCCTAACTGTGTGTGCCATGAAGTCGCAGTGTTGTGGCTCTGGGCTTCAGCGGTGTTTGCCACGGCCATCCCTGTGATAGTGCCACCCCTGCGTCCCCACAGACCAGTCATCTCCATCGCTTTTGCTTTGCCCGTGATGCTTGTCGGAGTAGATGAATAGAGTGTGTCTTCCTGCCTCTTACCGCTGTCCTTTCAGGCTGTAGCTCCCACCAGTTAGATCCCAGCTGGGGGTGGGCTGACCTTGATGTGAAAGAATGTTGGAGCAACATCCTGCCTAAAAGCAACTAACATTGGCTCTCCTGCCAGTGTGCCCTGAGTGGCCCAAGGCACCTGGCTGGAGGGAAAATGGCGAACTTTTGGCTGAACTGGAGAATGTCTTAACAAACCCTCTTCCAGAATGGCTTTAGTCTCTAGTGCCTGCTAGCATGGGAGCTTTGTCTTGAATTCCTTTTGATCTGCCCTGTTTCTCTCCAGCCTTAGGAATAAATCTAGAAGCTATTGTGCAATGACCTGTGGGCTTTTTAGAAGTCTCTAAATTTCCTTGAAACTCAGTACAGCCCAGTACAAACTACTCAAGTTCTTCACCAGCTTGCTGGTTTGCTTTTGTTAATAAAAGCGGTGCAACGCTGGCTAAGGAGTTGCTTTTCTAATGCTCTGTAGGAGCAGAGGCAGCCAGACAGAGTGAGCCCTGAACCAAACACCTGTATTCCAACATTTTACACAGCAGTCTGGGCACCCTGTGCCTGGGAGAGCTGGCCACATGTCTGCTCAAGTCTGACCTGGGCCAGGGGCTGTTACTCTTGGGAAAACCAGAATGCCATTAAGTCAGGCACCAAGAGGCAGTCGCTTATGTAGCAAGGCAGCCACGAGGTTGCTCAGAGGGCGTTGTACGTTAAACCAACATATTTTGTTGTTGCTTCCAGGGCAGCAGAAGAAGCCTTTGTAAACGACATTGATGAGTCGTCCCCAGGCACTGAGTGGGAACGAGTGGCCCGGCTGTGTGACTTTAACCCCAAGTCCAGCAAGCAGGCCAAAGATGTCTCCCGCATGCGCTCAGTCCTCATTTCCCTCAAGCAGGCCCCCCTGGTGCACTGAAGAGCCACCCTGTGGAAACACTACGTCTGCGATATCTTAATCCTACTCAGTGAAGCTGTTCGGAGTAATTGGATTAATTATGTTGAGTTCTTTTGGACCAAACCTTTTGTCTTTAGAGTTGATCATTGTTTGTGATTGCATGTTTCCTTCAAGTGTGTTCTCCCTGGCTCAGAGAGGAGGGGGAGGAGGAAGGGAAGGGGAGGGAAGCCTCCCAGCAGTAGCCTCAACCTGTGCTTTTGTGCATTATTCTGAGAATAAATTTCTGTTTCAAACAACGTAGATGAAGCTTCTTTACTAAACTCATGATGTTCTGCAGTTTGGAGTAAGGCAGGGAAGTATATTTCAGCAGGAGTCAGTCTGGGGTATGCAGAGTGACCCCTTTGACTCCTTTGGATTCAGCCAGGAAACCTGAGTTGGGACGGCGCTGTGTGCGGCTAGCCCTGTTACTCTTGATTCTGTAGCACGTCAGAGTCTGTGCCACCCCAAGCACTGGTTCATATTTCTATTACAGAATCCTTCTCTAGACCCATGCTGTCTAATACAGCATTCACCAGGCACATGTGGCTATTTAAATTAACTAAAAATACATTTCTAGTCCTAGTCATATTTCACATGTGGTTAGGTGGCATCTGAATTGGACAGTGCAGATTAGAGAACATTTCCATCACAGCTCTACTGGTCTGTGCTGATCTACGTAACAGGTGCTTCCAGGAGACTGCTCTGTTCAGACACCAAGACATTTATTACCTGCCCTCAGAACTTGGCATAGTACCTGGCACATTTTAGTTGATGTTCCAAGCAATTAATAAAGCCATATTTCAGTAATTGTCTGCTTAAAATCATCTGATATTTCCAAGTTGGAGATTGTGGTAAACTCCTATAATACCCTGCTCAGGATGGATGTTAAGCCTTGCTGTTGCCAAGAAGGAAAGTCCTTCCAGCTGTGAACATCTACAGAAAAAGGAAAAAAAAAAGCAAAAGTCCACCATCTCTCCCATGCTAATTATGTTTGGATGGGAGAGGAACTGTCATTACTTTACCTCTTACCTCCCTCTTTCCAAGCTTTTTGGGCTTTCTTTGATCCGGTCCACATTTCTGGCCTCTGCTCATTCCTCCCCTATAGCTACCTCTGATCAAGTGCTCACTCACTGTTGTTCCCAGACCTTTTGTTATAACTGGGAGTTGCTAATGCCATTCAAAATGTCAAAATCAAATTTTAGAATTAGTTCATGGCCAGGCATAGTGGCTCACGCCTGTGATCAATCCTACCATTTTGGGAGGCCAAGGCAGGAGGATTGCTTGAGGCCAAGAGTTCAAGACCAGCCTGAGCAAGAGCAAGACCCCGTCTCTACCAAAAACAGAAAAATTAGGTGAGCATGGTGGTGCATGCCTGTAGTCCCAGTTGTTCAGGCGGCTGAGGAAGATCATTGGAGCCCAGGAGCTGGGAGGTTGCAGTGAGGTATGATGATGCCACTGTACTCTAGCCTGGGTGACAGAGCAAGATCCTGTCTCAAAAAAAAAGAAAACTAGTTTAAAGGACATCTCCACAATGCCTCCCCTTACTCCCCTGGACGCCTATGGCTTCTACTTGGGGCAACTCACTTTTCGGAATTATCTTGGTGCCATCATCTTGACCAGTCTCAGCTCCCAAACTAGATGGGCTTCCCAAGGGGGATATGGCAGTTTTAAAATGTCAACAAAATCTTTGGCATTCTCCAGATCAAGAAGTGACTAAATAATAACAAAAGTGATACTGTGACTTCCAAGGCTAGGTCATTAAAGGCAATGTAGTTTAATGGCTGGTTTGTTGGACCAGACACACTAGCTGGTAACTCTGAGCCACCCAATAAAGTTCTACCACCCTGAAGCTACCATGCTGAGAGGAGGCCCAAACTAGTCCACACTGAGACCCTGTAGACATGCAGAGAGAGAGGCCTGGCCTGTGAGCCTGCTATTCCAGCTTCAGCCACTAACTACAAGTGCACAACACTCTGGGCTAGAACTGCCTTTCCCAAATTCCTCACCCACAGAAGCTGGGAGAGATAAAACAATTGCTATTGTTTTAAGATCTCTTAAGTTTTGAAGTGGTTTGTTACATAGTAATAGTAACAGGAGTATTTCTGAAGGAGCTGGTCCAGAGATTGAGTGGGTGCTCCGCATTTAAAACTTCTTTCTTGGGGCCACTTTGCTTTTTATGTCAAATTTAAATGTTCTATAACAGTGCTTTCTATTAATAGGCTTTTTTGGGGGTAAGAAAGTAATAATAATAGATACTTTAAGGAAGTTGCATAACCAAAAAGCAAGCAATGCAACAACTTTAAATCTCTTCTGAGAAGGGAAATGCTTTTAGCTAGTGGGTTAAGAACAAAACAAAATACAACAGTGTTAGGATTTCAACAAGGAAATGTGTTTATTTTTCTTTGTAATTTGGCTCAGAACTGTAACATAAAAATATTTACATTAAAATAAATTAACGTGATTATTTAGCCATATGTAATAATTTATGTTGGAATATATTAGCCTTTCTATGAACTTAATAAAAACAAAGATTCAGTTTTTAGATTCAGTACCATCCTTTCAAATATTTGGTATGAAACTTGGTAGCTGTGCAATTGTTTGGTACACAGAGCGGTTATATAGATTTCACCAAGAAAGAACTGATGCCCCTTCTCGGTCACCAGCTCGCCCCAAACACAGAGGTGGAGCAGCTGAGCTTCCTTCCCAGGAATCACCATGGAATGTTTGAACAATAACCAGGCCCTGGAGATTATTTAAGGGCTGGTAGAGTTCAAGGAATCTGCCAGACTATCTTTTTCACATTAACCCACCAGGAAGGAAGTAGTTAAAATGCAATATTGATTCTTTCAGCTTATTTTATATGTTAACACTGAAACAATACATTATAGAAACCTTCATTTTCCCCAAATAAAAAACAATCTGAAAAATATATGCATATGCTTTTTTAGATCATCTAAAAGTACCCATAAAAACCTGTCACTAGATTAAATACTGCAAAATTTCCGTAGCAGAGAGGAATATTTGATTAAATGCACAGTTGAGAGATAGGGTCAAGAACACATGGAGTCATTTGCAAATCAGATATTAAAGCTTTTGGTGGCCTAGAGTAAATTAGAATATATTAGCTTTTTTTTTTTTTTTTTTTTGAGACAGAGTCTCACTGTGTTGCCCGGGCTAGAGTGCTGTGGCGTCAGCCTAGCTCACAGCAACCTCAAACTCCTGGGCTCAAGCAATCCTACTGCCTCAGCCTCCCAAGTAGCTGCGCCACCATGCCCGGCTAATTTTTTTCTATATATTTTTAGTTGTCCAATTAATTTCTTTCTATTTTTAGTAAAGACGAGGTCTTGCTCTTGCTCAGGCTGGTTTCAAACTCCTGAGCTCAAACAATACGCCCGCCTCGGCCTCCCAGAGTGCTAGGATTACAGGCGTGAGCCACCGCACCTGGCCCTATATTAGCATTTTGAAAGGGTTTTGTTTTTTTTTTTAAGACAGTCTCGCTCTGTCGCCCCAGGTAGAGTGCAGTGGCATCAATCATAACTCACTGCAACCTCACACTCCTGGGCTCAAGCGATCCTCCTGTCTCAGCCTCCCAAGTAGCAGGGACTACAGGCATGTACCACCACACCTGGCTAGTTTTTCTTTTTGTAGAGACAGGGTCTCGCTCTTGCTCAGGCTGGTCTCAAACTGCTGAGCTCAAGCAATCCTCCCTCCTCGGCCTCCCAGAGTGCTAGGATTACAGGTGTGAGCCACCACACCGGCCTTGAAAATGTTTTTGAAATGAGAGGTGGTATGTCTTGGCAGAAAAAGCACAGAAGACCTGGGATCAAAGCCTCTCTCTTAAGACTCACTAGTCCCAAAGCTTTAATTATGTCACTTAAACACATGAAGTCCTATAAAATAGGAATTTGTTAAAACAGCTACCTCACAAGTTGAGAGAATTTAGGACAATGTTTATGAAGCACCTAGTTCAGAGCCTGGCACACTGTAGGCACTTAATAAATGGTGGCAGTTAGTATTTCTTCCAGGTTGTAAATAATAGCCAGAACTTTGGCTTTTGTATTTTGACACCACTGAAAGCACAGATTATTTAGCCAGAATCCAGATTCACAGATCTGGGCTCTAGTTATAACACATACAAACACTGCCTTAAACACTGTCATATTCAACGTAATAGGAAAAGCTATTGAAGGGAGAGGTGTCTGCTGGTCAGTAGCAAAGATCCTTTTGGGACAGTTAATCTCCTTTCAGAGGCTGTAAGTCCTAGTGGCTTCTGAGCTGTCCCTAAGAAGATAAGGACAAGGTCACTAAGGCCATTGTAATTCAGATCCCTGGTCTAAAGTCTCTTACAAGTTCTGCCAGAGTAATAACAAAACATCTTCCAACAAATGACATTTGGGGGCCACACATATGTCCAATGTCTTGATTGTAGTGATGGTTTCTCTGATATATACATATGTCAAAGCTTATCAAATTATATACTTTTAAAGATACCCCAATAAACCTTGTCAAAATAAAAGTGTACTTAAGCCTTTCCTGGTAAGCTTTCCTTCTGTTCCCTTGACTGGATTTCTGTGAAATGAGTTTGGGGTTAGAGGACAAAGGACTGTTAATCCAAACTCCAGGATGAAGCTCACATCCCAAGCAAGGCCTGCAGGTTTAAATGGTACGTTAGTAAGCAGAGTCCTAAGGCTTCCTCATCTATTATGTAGCTCCTTTTGTCACAGAAAATTGTGACTGGAACTTACAGAATCTGAGCTAAAATGACGGCTATTAGGAAAACATCAGAAAGAGTAGCATCTACAAAAATGGAGGTGGGAAAGGTGACTTCAGAAGAGGAGACAAAAAACGAAAACGCTTCCCTGCCAAAGTCGCCTACAGTTAAATACCAAATTTGCTTTTTAAGAAGTGCACATCTAAAAGACAAGAACTTGATTCCATGAGGGAGCTCTCGAGTCTCGGTCCCCGTTTTTGTTCGTGGAGGCCTAGTAGATCCTGCGAGTTGTGTAGTCCAGAACCATGCTGGCGGCGCCTAGCAGGGCGGGGTCAACCAAATCCGAAACCACCACGTCCACGTCCTGCACCGAGGACAAGGCCTGCTGGCGGATGACGTCTTTGACAATGTGGATATAGTGACTGGCCAGGACTCCAGAGAGGATCACAAGGGAAGGATTCATGGTGTGGAGGATGTTCACAACCCCAAGACCCAAAGCCGTTCCAGCTGTAGGAAAACAAAAATTAAAGTAAGTTTCCAGGAG